CAGGTCTCAAGGCTGCATTTCCTTGTGCTGCAGGTGCAGGGGCCCGTACTGGTGGAGGACACTTGTTTGTGCTTCAATGCCCTCGGGGGCCTCCCTGGTCCTTACATGTGAGTGCTCCCCCACCCCCTTGCAGGGCCCTGTCCACAAAACCACCTGAACTTGGAAATGATTGGTTACCTGATATTTCGGGTCATTCACTGTCTTGGCATGAACACCTATATTTCAGAAGGATTAGGGATGGAGGAGAGGCATGTCTTTCTTTTGTAAAGTGTGAGAATGTGATTGTGTAAGTGGAGATGGGCGAGGGGAGCCTACCTGTTGGAGAGGTACATTCATGGGCAGATCAATTTCAGGAAAAAGGAAATAAGGAAGTTGAGATCTGAAAATGGATTTCCTTAAAACTATCCAGTGCCCTGGATCCCCTCAGAAGGTCCTTGTGTATCTCTAGGGTACAAATACCCCTACTTGAATACCCCGTGCTGGGCTTGGAGGGCAAAAGTACAGCGGTGCTGTTGCTGGGTCTTGGATATATATATCTTTTAACTTTTGGGTTGCCTATTTGCTTGCCAAGGCAATACCACTTACAGTATGTATTGCTCCATATCCTCACCAGCACTGAGTATTACGACTTTTTATTGGGTTGTCGGAAAAGTCATGATGCATTTTTACAACGAAAAACAGAAAAAATACGTCATGACTTTTCCGACAACCCAATGATATTTTGCAGTGTCAGGAGTGTGAAATGTTACCACATGTGGTTTCAATTTGCATTTCCCTGATTACCAGTTAGGTTGAAGCCTTTGTTTAATTTATTGATTCTTCTGTGCATTGCCTGTTTGCCTCCATTTCCTTTTTCCTATTGGATGATTTCTCTTCGTTTTGAGTTGAGACATTCTTTATCATATCCCCTTGGCTGTCCCAGGGTTCTAATCCTGGGGAGCGCAGCCCAGAGAAGAAGGTAGTTGGAAGATCCATCTGCTCCTGGTGTCTGACTCCAGGCCTTATTTGTCTTGCAGAAAATGGTTTCTGGAGAAGTTAAAGCCTGAAGGTATGATCCCCTTTATTTCTTCCTTTAGATCTTTCGGCAGTTGAGAATCTGGAGGTTGTCTAGGGCACAAGCCCCACCTAGTAGTCAGGAACCTCAGGTTCCAGCCCCCACCATGGAGCCTCAGTTCACCTCAGTTTCCCCATCTATAGCCCGTGGCTTACACTCCCCCTGCACACCTGGCTCCAGGGAGCATTGAGATGTGGGAGGAGTGGATGGGAGAGGGGTAGTGGGAGCTGTGAGTTTGATGGACAAAGGGACTGGAGCTGATTTGACTGAGACGACTGGCCTTACTGACTGCTTTCCTGTCCTTGCGTCAGCCAGGGCCTGGCCTCTGGATTGGAGGGCTGTCTCTCCTGGGCCCCAGCAATGCATACCCTGTCATCCATAGTTGCAGGCCAAAATGTTCCCTCTTTAGATGCTTCTAAAAACACTTTATATTAATGAGCATGTCAAACATGTACAATAGTAGAATAGAATAATGAACCCCATGTCCCCATGCCCGGAGTTTGAGGATTATCAGCACAAATCCCCTATGTAATGACGTGTATAAACCTCCCAATTTGGCATGCCCACGCCCAGTCCGGGGCCTCAGGGTGGGGAGTGGGGGCTGGCCAGCACAGATTGTGCTGAACCCTCACTGCACCCGCCCGCAGGTCTCCACCAGCTCCTGGCCGGGTTCGAGGACAAGTCAGCCTATGCACTCTGCACGTTCGCGCTCAGCACTGGGGACGCAAGTGAGCCTGTGCGCCTGTTTAGAGGCCGGACCTCGGTGCGTACCCACGCTGGTTCCCCCGTGTGCCGCCAGAGGGCGCTGCTACTTGAGCTGGCGGCCCATGGTCTTCTGTGGGAACGTGGTAGAGAGGGCCCCGGGGGCCAGAATTAGTTCCCAGGGCTTTGTCCAGACTCGCCCCTGGGCACACAGGCGCTGTCTTTCACCCCTGAGACTGGTGTTTCAGAGAAGTCGCACAATGGCTCACAGCTGTTGAGGCCTCATGCACCCAGAGGTCTGCACTGTATGCCCTCCTGAGAAGCAGATGTGGAAACTGAAGGGGACAGCTCCCAAAGCTACATATACA